AATTCCACCCATACCTATGTGGTTATTTCCCATCTATATACTGCAGCTCAACATGTCTTTAAAATATAGGACATGCTACATTTACTGTTTGCTGAAGATGTATCACCACTCATCCAAGGGACTCTCAGTTCAAATGAGTGTTGGAGACGTTCCTCAGCATTTATAGCCACATAGACAACTCAGTCACTTTAAAGCTGAACTACAGGCAGATTTAAAACATCACAAATTAATGAAGCTCTGTAATCATTCATTCATCATAAAATGTATTTTCTAAATGCAAACAGTATAAGTACTTGTATTTGACCTGGTATCATCCTCTTATAGTTCCTATGTATAGCAGAACTCAAACTGGGAGCGGAACAAACAAGATAGGGGGGCGGTCAGTTGTGCGGAGCAAAGAAACAGAGAAATTAGTTTATCAGTCCATAGAAAATCAGTCCATAGAAAATTTGCAGATAATCTATAGGTGTATGGCCAGCTTTACAGCAGAACAACACTGGATTCACTAGGAATGTAAGTATGTTTATTGGGGATAACCCAGCAAACAAGGAGAGAGGGGATTGCAGCACATTTAAAAACAGATCTCCTGTCCTGCCAAACAGGGCTGTGCTGTGTGCCAGAGCTGTGTAATCTCAGGACTAGATGGGCAGAAACACAAATCCTCCAGCAGGTAAAAGGGCTCCTTTTTTTTTTTTTTTTTTTAATTTAACTCTGTATTTGGCTGGATTTGAGATTTGATCCAGTCACGATGGTTAGAAGCAGAATGCACAAAGTGATATAGTCATTCCATTTGCAGCTGCAGTGTTGGAAAACCTCAGCAGGACTTTTATCAAATATCACACCTTTTTTTTTTGCAAGTGCAGTACACCACACAACACACTGAGACCTAAGCGTGTACCTCTGAAAGACCCAACACCCTTACACAAAAGAAAGAATCTGCTATATGCTGTCCAGTTTAGTAAGGAATGCAAAGACCGGTATTGGGAGACAAAAAAACTGTTCAACAATGGCCCAAATTTGTTCCGTTGAATGTGGTTAACTACTACTATGCTACATCTTGACCTGAAGAAGTGATACCTCTCAGACACCTGCTCTGCATGTTTCTGCCTAACTTTTCATGATTCAGGAACAAAAAAACACATTTCATCACAAAAACATAAATGCATACCATAACACATGTCAGAAATGAACAATGTTACATTACATAGGTGTGAAAAGGCCTTTAGGTAAAACATCTGGTTGCGTTTGGCCATTGTTAAATGCATAGTTAATATTTTGCAAAAATGTAATAAATACACTCACATTAATAAAATACAAAAATATGCTTTTATTAAATATTTGCATTGAAGCCTGCAGAGCATTTCAACTGTGATCAATGCATTGCAGGTGCAATGTACAGGCTCCAGTTGTTTACATCCCAGCCCCAGGTCCATACAGGGGTATGGACCTTCCGTCATGGGGCTGGGGTAAGTACATAATGGGCTACAGTGTGGCAATGTCACTGCACTTGTACCGACGCAGTCTGTGATTCTCTTTGCCGCGGTGGCCGAAGTGACTTAGTTATAGAGTCACAGATCCTTGTGAATGTCCTCCATGCAAAAATCAGCAGGACGTTCCAGCAGGGAGAAGTGGGGTGGGGTTGTCGGTTTGAGGGTGGGTAGCTGGGGAATGTGACCATGTCTTCTGCATTCTTCTGGTCATTTATGATGCTTAAAATATATGTAGGCTCAAATACATAACTCAGTTAAGCTTTAACATGTAAACATAATTTTAAGTAATTTGTTTAATAGATTACAGGTATTTATATAGCACCAACAATTTACACAGCGCTTTACATGCACATTCACATCAGTCCCTGCCCTCAAGGAGCTTATAATCTAAGGTCTCTATCTCACATGCATACATATGAGGGCCAATTTTTTAGACAGGAGCCAAGTAACCTACCAGCATGTCTTCGGAGTGGGGGAGGAACCCGGAAGAAACCCACCCAAGCACAGGGAGAACATGCAAACACCTTGCAGATAGTGACCTGGCCGGGATTCGAATCAGGGCTGCAATCAGAAGTGCTAACCACTACTACGCCACTGTGCTACTGATTTTTATGGTTGAATCTATATTTATTGAATAACATCAAGAGTAGAGCACTGTTCTACTGATATTTAAATCAGTATCTTTCATTAAAATAATATCGGGTGATCAAAGGTTTTTGTTAGGCACTTCCTGTTATAGGGTCACAACACTCTGCCCCTGTTTCCAAATTGTGCTCCCGTACTGTCACCCTATTAAACAGACATGGCCCACTGTCATCACCATTGGGAAGCCAGTCATGAGAAATGGTATGCAGCCATTGCTGGATTGTATGTACGTAGACAGGACAAGACCACAAAGGGGCTGCTGGAGATGATATGTAACAAAGGATGAAAAGGTGACAAGTATTTTAGACAAAATGGCAATTATTTTTTAGACAAATGTCATTTAGTTAGGGTTTACATCTAATTTAAAATGACTCTGGTGCACATTACTGTCCTATGTGTGACCTTATTTACAGTTCGGCCATATAATATGAGCAAAATTTCAAACATTTTCTTTGCTTGATTTGAATTTGAGGAGAATAGATAAGTGTTTAGCTACAGTGTTTTTGTGTTAAAATGCTTAGATAATGAGAGAATACACTTGCTGCTGAAGCAGGTCTCTCTCAGAATTCCTTATTCTGTGTGATTTAATAAAGGTTACAAGTCACCCTAAAGGCTTTAGACTTAATGAGGGCTTTCCTGCAGACAGATCTCTTATCACTCGTGTTTTCTGTATTATGATGCTGCTGACCTCTATGCTAGTTGCCAAAAGGAAAAAAAATGTCCTTTATTCTTTGCCTTTTAGTAAGCCCTGTGATGGCAGAACACAAAGAAATGTAGGGAAGGCATTCTCCATAGAAAGTAAAAATACAATTTGTCTTCTGGCAAAATATCATTTCACGTTCAATTGAAAAGCAAGACTTTTATTGGAAAGTGAAACACCCTACTGCTTCTTCTGTCTAACTATTATTGCATCAAATGAAAAGTATGATAATAAGGTCGAGGGTCATATATAAGAGGTTCACCATCAAATGCCATGGCTAGGTTAAGATGTGCCTGTATGTTGTTTAAATCCTAAGTGTGTTTGAAAATAAATATATTTTGTGGTTTTATCCTATGTAATTGTGGTGAATTATGGTACTGATTAAATGGATGGACGAGTACAGAAGTGATTTCTTTGAATTTAAAATGGAAACCAGTATTTATGGCATATGTGAGGTTGGTTTTAGCCGAAAAGAAGCCCTGGACCAAAATAAATTTAGGCTAATGTGCAGGATTACTGTACCAATGGCTTTGCACTTTACTAGGTAGAGTGAGTTTTTTTTAATTGAGTTTTGCAATAAAAGTAACAAACCAAACAAAACCAAAATAATCAATACCAATCAGTGTTTGTCTCATCATACAATAAAGGACAGCGTATCATGAACAATGCTTTGCATACAACATATATGACATAGGAAAAACTCATAGGCAATATCATAATTTAACGCAACCTAAGAAGAAGTTAGGGCAGGTCAACAGTTGTGTTAGTGGAGCCTAACCATGAACTTCATATACCATCAGAGAGCTGTGGATTACCCCTCTGCTCATAAGTAATCTTGTAAACAGGAAGGGATTGATCAACTATACGTTTCCAGCAAATCACAGAAGGAGCCCTAGGACCATTCCACACCAGAAGAATGGTCTTTCTGGCATAAAAGATTAGAATATGGAGAAGACGTTGAGCCCTGGAGTCTAACATGAGATCCCCTAGCAAGCCTAAGAGGCAGAACGATGGGTTGCACATATTGAAACCTAGATTCATCTCTAAGAATTCTGTAATATGAGGTATAGGACACCCGGCAGAAAAATGTAATTTGTAAAATTCTATCCCTGGACGATATAAGGGAAGACACATACAGTAGTTATCTTCAAAATCGTACCAGTCGTCAGGATCTAAATCTGGAGGTAGAGTGAATTTTGTTGCAAGATCCGGAACTCTTTTGTCTTACTCAGTTCTGTAAGACCTGATGACATTATAAGAGCATCACATTGTTACTAGAGTGATCATTGAACATGATTCTCTCCAGTGGAGTTCATCTCAAATTTCCAGATGACATTATGCAATTGGACCAAATGTTGCAGATTAGGATGGCTGAATGCGAATTTCAGTGTTATTTTTGGTCATTCAGTAGGCTTCTGGGAGAAAGTGCCCAAAGGTTGCATCACAGGCTGCCTTATATCTGCTTCTGCTGATGCCTGGGCTCCCTTAGGTTGACTTCCCTGTTTTTTGGCCCCATCATCTTGACACCAAAGGTGTAGTTACACTTTAGAGGAAACCTTACTGATGAAGCTTGAACTTCGCCATTACAGACCTCTCCTTTTGAAATTGCTAGTTGCCTAGCTGTTATGATTTTCTTCTGTATTAAGAGGTTTTGAGTTACTGACCCAAAACAAATACATAGATCAGGATTTCTGACTTCACTCTGTCGTTTGCGTTTTGCTATGCAATTATTTTGCATTGTCTCAGGATTCCTCTCAGTACAGCTTACCTTTATCATACAGCAGTTAAGCAACTTCTAAAGCTTATGATGTGATGCTGGTGATTTCAAACATCATAGACTGATTATTATATGCATTTTGATAAAATTGTATGTTTATTGTGTGATCTATGTACATATTTTTAAACTCCTTCCTGGGCTTTATATGCACATTCCTCAGATTTACAAGCTACGCTGGTATCAGGGCATCACTTTAATATTTGGTTTCATCACATTATACATTCCACGCATCTGCTAGAGCCCATTAGTGATTGTGGTTTGACAGCAAGTGATACCACATAGAAAATGTACAACTATGCTATATTAACCGCATGTATGAAAATATTGCATCTTTGTTGCTTAAAATGTCACAAAATAGATTTATACAGTTTTATTTCTTTTTTTTCAGAATGTGTAATCAATAGCCAGGAATGGACCCTCAGTCGCACAGTACCGGAAATACGTGTGGTAAGTTATGAGGTCATGCTTGTCTATACATGCATTTAAAAGACATCAGTTCGTTGTCAAATATGACAGTCCTTTTTAGGATTTTTGATTTTGCTGTTGCAATGTCATCTTAACCCTCATTCGCACAAGTGTCCTTTGTTTTATATAAATGCAGGAGAAATGAATCTCAGAAGTATAAACCCACTTTAGACCTCATTGAGATGGCATAATTATATGCATTTCTATATGCATATTTCTATAGGACATTCTAGTTCTCCTGTGTTAAAATGTACTTGTGTTTACATATGCTTACACATGTTTATATGCTAGTATCAGATTTGCCCCTGGACGCACAGATTTTTCTTTCTAAATGCAGTTAAACTGAACACACCTAGAATCATGTAAACGCACAGTGGGAATTATACTGAATAAAATTATTACATGCATTTATATCTGATTAGAAACGTCCTGTGAATGCATACAATTCCATACCTGTGTTAATGAGGGCTTAAAGAGTTAGTTCACCTTTAGTCAAATTTCTAAAAAAAAACCCCCCTTGCATTTCAGCATTCTTAGCAGATGACAAACCACTGTTCAGCTTACCAAAAAAAAAAGCTTCTTTTGCATGTCATACCTACAGTCTGTGCGTAGCCTGACTGCAAAAACTCCTGGGTAGACAACCCCCTCTATCCTCCCTAAACTCCAGGATGTGTTGGACAGTAGAATCACTCCCCCAACACAGAATGAATGAGCGCTATGGCTTGTTTAAACACTACGCATGTTCAGTACGCTCTCTCTCCCTTTCTCCCACAGTTCAGCCACTGCTACTACAGAGGTGGTGAGAGCATATTGAGCATGTGCAGTGTTTGAATGAGCCACAGCACTAAATCCTTCTGTGTTAGGGGAGCGCTTCTAACTTCCAATCTATCCAAACAGTCAAAGGCAGCAGTGCCTTAGATCTCACATTGCAGATATACAGCTATGAGACTGTAAGTATAGGAGCTTCTTCCATACCAGGAGGTGCACTGCTATTTTTCAGGAGGATTTCTGGACAAAGGGTCATTTTTTTCAGGTAACTGCTTAGAAACAATTAACATCTGAAAATATTCCCTACACCATAGCAAATCTTCATTTCAGGTTCACAGTTTGTGAGCTTGTCAGTTTTTAAGAGTCTATTCACATGCCGCTTTCCCCTGAAGAAATACAATATAAAAATATAAGGATAATTTATTTTCATTTCAAAAACATGGTATACATGAAGTAGGTCCCAAGAACAATAATAAAATAGAGACAAGCAAAGAAAAGAAATAAATGCGCATGTAAACATAAGTATACAGATAATAGTGTAAAAATAAATCATAATAATTTTAAATGAACACCAATTTGTTCAGTATGAGCAACCACACATAAAAAGCAGCAGGATGCTCGATAAGATTGCAGCAGAGGTGTAACTAGAAACCTCCAAAAAGTGTCGGCACCTCGGCGGTTACCGGGCTAGTGCATGTATGTAGTCCCAGGAGGCAATGCTGGAGCCTCACAATTACCGGGACCTGGTGCTCTTCTTCCTTTCCGGGCCCCACCCAAGTGGCAGAACACCACGGCCCGGTCGCACCTTGTTAGTTCTGCCAATGCCTCCATTCCCTCTACTCTCCAGTATTAAAATACAGACTCCGCTCCTCCCCTTTTCTCTCCAGTGTTACAATGTAACTATAAAACCAGAGCTTTTCAACTCCCAGCCCCATTCACTCACAGCTGCCGCATTCCTTACCCAAAATATGTAGTGTGCAGATGAGCAGGACACTCTTTAAACAAGTTATAACAGGTTTTATCTGCAGCCTTGGGGATGGGGACACCGTGACTACACCGATTCTCTGCCAACTAAGCTTCTCCTTTGGTGGAAACACCCAAATGTTGCCTCCTGTGGTCCCAGGAGGCAATGTCAGCTCCTTAGCGGTTACCGGGGCTGGGACCTCTTCTTCCTTTCCGGGGCCTCACCAAGTGGTGGAACGTCGGGGCCTGATCACACCTGCAACCCATGTGACCCTGGTAGTTCCACCACTGGATTGCAGTATTATCAGTAATAAAGTTCAGTATTATCAATCTCAAATTACAGTGATGAAAAGAAATAATACTAATATTAGCATCAATAATTCAGGGTGATCTGACAGCATTAGGAAAAATGCCATTCCTCAGCCTGGTGGTTCCTAGCTCTAATGCTGTATAATATCTGACCTGCAGGGAGGGGGATAAACAATCCATAAATAGGATGGGAAGGGTTAATCATAAAACTGAGGGCCATCTTCCTACACCTGCTGTTCTAAATATTACTGATAGTGGACAGATTGCTGCCAACAATCCTCTGAGGAGTCGTTACCACCCGCTACCATACCAAACAAAATAGAAAGCAATCCATTTTTTAAAAGAAATGGAGTCTTGGAGAACTTGTCGAAGTTCCCTACAAAAGTGTTAAATGTTTTCTAAAATGCCAAACAAAATGTGGCTTATTTTCCATGAAGTGCCAAATAGAATGGTTGAACTGGTCACGCTGCTAGCTAATTAATTACTTTGGAAATTAAACTTCTCTAATTTGTCACGTTTGATTAAATCATGCCAACTGCAAAGAGAATAATGAGATAATTAGTTTATATTGACACCACTTATAATTACACTCTCCATCAATGTATTACTAGTGGGAGAATACACCATTCTGTGTATTGTCCTGACCATTAGAGGACAGGGATGAAGAAACCCATCATAACTAAAGGGAGATATACAGTGTGAGGCCAGCCATACCGGGGGAGGGGGGTTTCCAGGGGGGTTCCAACAGGGCCACACACTGGTCGAATTTTGTCCGTCAGCAAAACTCAGCAAAAATTCAACCGTTGTATGGCCTGTTTAAGGTCTTCCATCCTCTATTACTGCTGCACTTTTCATAGATAGAAATGTACATGAATATCAATGAATATCATTCAGTTTAAAACAAAAGATAATGGATCTATAAAAACTGAAGGAGGAAAGGCAGTTTGCTGCTCTGTAAATAGTGGAGACATTTCATATAGTCAAAAAATAATACAGAACAGGCAATAAAAGTGCCAAGGATGTCAAACAGGGCTTTTTTAAATAGGGTGATTTGTGTTTTCATTAAAGTAGAGTTCTATTAATGGCATAGAAAATGAATGGAAAACTAACATTTTACAATTTCTTCTAATGGGTCCTCTTGGTTCAGTGACCATAAACTAAGTAGCAGGATTTCCCCTTACTTCCTGTCATGTCTTCAGAATGATTTGACATTATTAGAGCCACAGACAGCCAAGCAACTACTATTTTCAGAAGTAGGTCAGCAATTGAAGCCTTTGTATTTCTCTCATAACAGGTTAGCTTTAAAAAAATAAAGCTTTGGAACAGTTTTGTTTGTATTGACACATAGCTATACTCGCCAGTGCCATTTAGGGGCGCTAGTGCCGAGTAAATAGCATCCGTTCATCCATTCAGAACTTTTATAAATGCACCTCATAGATATTGCAAGTATTTTTAGAATCGGTACAGTGCATGCATAGGAGCTGCTGCAGCATATATCTACCTTTTGGACTAGAGTTCTAAATTGGTGTATTTATTGCAATAGCATTCTAACTGTGCTGTAATCCCATTTTTCCTTTATCTGAATTCATATGTAAGAGTCCGTACACTAAGTAATATGTAAATGTGTTCTAAATGTTTGTTTTCCATATTATGGAGCAACTTTGTCTTCCCAGAAAGCAATTATATAATGGGGGTTCTTTTCCTTTTACATAATATAGTGGTCCTTGTGATTATGAAGAGGTCATGTTCATGTAATATGTTTTCTGTGCTGCACCCCATACAAATGGCACTGCTTCTAAAATAAAACACCCTGATCACAGTATATTTATTGACACAGTCCATTGCAATCGTTTTTAGCTGTATGTATGAGAGCTAAAAATACATTTTGGTAATGCCCAGTGAATATTAAAGGACCTGCAGCCAATGTTTTTATTGTTTTGTATAGAGTGGTTAAGTATTAAAATGTTTGCATGTTTTTGTTCTTGCAATGTACACATTTTGGGAAAACTGCCCATAGCTGCAATAAGCTCTGAGGAAGGGGGTTGGGTCTCTCCCCAAAACAAGCTGGCTGTTTGATACAAATATTAAACTTTTTACACTGACTCTGTTTTCATCTGGTACTGTCCCTGAGTTTCTCCCAGTACCTCCCAATAGAAGACCGTGGGTCTTTGAACTGCATAACCATAAGCTAATGAGCTACCTACACATCAAGTTGGGTCTATCAAAAGGGATAGCAAGAGACTCGTTCCAGTGCCTAAAATATTTTCATGATTTGAAGTTTTTTAGACCTAACCTACAGCTATCTGACTGTTAGTGATAATGAACGCCCCTGTATAGATACCTGCTAGCCAGAGAAGTCACCCTCTGGGTACAAATGGTCCACTGATTACCCACTATTTCTGGCTTTGGCAAAAGGATTCTGTGGCAAAGGCACTTCAGGCTTCTGCCTGAAAAGCCAATTAGTGCTTCAACCTCATGAAGAAGGAGGTAAGCATATGGTGCCCTTTTTTCTGGTACAGGGAACCATGTAGGGAAAGCGTGCCTAAAGCAAATATTCGACTTTAGGCAGGCTTTAACATTCATTTGCACATATTTAAAGGTATACATACTGTTGAAAAGCTGTAATAGTTGACACATTTAGTGGTTATTTTGTATACAGGTTATAGTGGCTAAGTTATAGGCCATTTAAGGCTTAAAATGTCATATTGAGCATTTACTTTTTTGGAATTACAGGACCTGATATCAGTCATTGTCTTCAGTTTAAATCAGACTGTTTATAAAAGAAAGCTGCCAGCAGGTATTAAGTGTAAGCTATATGCCACATACCACTGCCACATACCTGCAGCAGCTTTTGTTGCCCCTTGCTATACTCAAACGCTGGCCATTCTGAATTGGAATAATTCCTGGTAGTGTCAGAACTCTCCATGCTAAGTACTGTGATGTGCTGCCTCATTGGCTCATACAAATTTCTATGAGGGGTGGGCAAGTTCCCACACTACTAGGACTTGCTGAACCTTTGGTCGTTCAGAACAGCCCAGCATTTGGCCTTAGCAGATGGCAATGAGATTTGCTGTGGGTATGTGCAGGCACCTACGAATGCCTGCACTTTATACCTTCTATCATTTTTTTTTTGTGACAGAGCCACTTGGAAAATATGTATTTGAATAAATAATTGTACTCTCTTTTGTGCCCTTCTAGCTTTTTCTACTTTTCTGTTGAACCATACCAATACTCCTTCATAGAATACATTATTGTGGATGATCTATTCATTGTTACCATAAATTATATAAAAAAACTAATTTTTGTCTCCCTCCTTCCCTTAGGGAGTTCTGGGTAATGTCAAAAGTGCAAAATCTTCTCTGGTTCACCGATTTGTTACTGGATCCTATCTGGCATTAGAGGCACCAGAAAGTAAGTATACCTGTATACATTTTAGTGGTATTTTACTTATTGGTCTCTGGATCAGAAAACAAGTCTTCATTGCAAATAGCCCAAAAGGTTACAAGTGAATCTTATAAATGAAAAACCTTCCACTAATTTAGTTGGCTATTTAGGCAGGTATATGCTTGCTGGTAAACCTTTGTAAACTAGAATTTTATTCAAAGATAAATGAATGAGTGCCATACACTGCTCAAATTCAACAGGAAATTAGCTAACATTCAAGCTGTGGGTGACCCTGGCATCACCCCCCGACTCAGCAAAATTCAACTGAAAAATTGAAGGAGTTGGGTGGAAAACTGTGTGCCAAACATTGACTGCATCCAATCACATGCAGTCAATGTTTGGGTATTCAGACAACCATGGGTGCTGGCTGTAGCATAGATGGAGAAATCTATACACGTATGCATAGCCTTATTCTCATAGAGTATATGAATGCAGGGGTGTAATATTAACCATAGCAACCCACATGGTTGCTATGATGCATGGAGGTGGAAGGAGTCCCATTGGTGGGTTGTTGAGGCTAGTTAAACATAGAAGGTCCGTGCGCATGTGAAGATAATGCATATCCATAACTGTATTATTAAAGATAGCAGATGTTGCTGTAGACACTGACCCTGTACCACCTGTGAAATTTCAAATCAAGAAGAGCTGATGTCAGATGGACATGAGGAGACTTCAGAATGATTGTTGCTAGTAATTTTTTAATGATCATTGTGTAATGATACGTGTAATCTACTTATCACTTTTAGATTTGGATAGGATATAGAGTGATTAAATCACCTGTTAGGATTTTTTCTCTGTGTTTGAAGAGCTTTAATCCTGCCCTATTCTATCCAAAGCTAAGGGGAAAAAAATGTTTTGACTTGTCCATGTCCCTAAGTAAAAGTAGTGCAAATTTAATGAGAAATAGTGCCAAATATGTGCAAACATTTTATAGACAAGTTACTGTCAGTTTACAATACATGATGGGGCAAGTGATGCTAAGTCAAATGGAAATGTTGCCAGTTCATTGATGAATAAATCTCAGTTGTACCTGACAGGCTCCTGATTCACTTTGCATCAGTCGGTTTAATTCTCCACAGTGTTGTTTTCTTGATGATTTTGTTTTTAGAGTTACAGGTTACCATACAAAATATATGTTGGATCTCACCTAAATGTTTACTGTTGTAGGGGTGCTACTACAATTAGTGTTTTTGTAATATGAAGGAGCAGTTAGACTGATGCAATACATTGAGTTGGTAGCCTCCATAAACTAACCATGCAATTTATGTTTGTAATTTGTATATTTTCACAGCATACTGAAAAATTTAAAAAATATACCGGTATTTCTTACCTTTTTCTGAAGCTGGCCATAAACTGGTAGACTTTCGTACAAATGTTCACATGAAAATTTATCAGCCCAGTTGATCATTGAGGAGTTTATCACCTCCCCAGTTCGTATCTCTGGGACAGTATTTGGGACCAACATTTCCAGAGGGTTCTCTCATTTGAACTTTTGTCAATAGTGGTTTAGTGTTGAAAGGTCTCCCTTTCTGGGAGACATCTGCTAGGATGTTGGATAATTGAGGAACTGCTTATTAACTCAACTCTGAGGAAGCACATGTGGCTGTCCCCACTTAGGAGATGTGAACCTTCTTAGCTATCCTGCCATAGAAAAGTATAACCAAGAAACCACTAATAACTTGGTCCCTAAGGAGCTGATTTACAAAGGAGTTATGAGCCATTATAGACTGTACAGGGGATAGGGGGTACAGAAGCTAGGCCATAAAAGAAACCCTGTTCAAGTTTTGCAAAGTGACTGGCATCTAAGCTAATCAGGTGTACGTGTCTCTCTTGGTGTCAGAGGTGCAATGGATCCAACATTTTAGGTGTATGTAAACCCTAAATCTATTTTTCAGTATGTTTGGCACCATGGGTGTCTAGGTGAGAAACTAAGCAGCAGATTCACCAAAAATGATTTGCTGAAGAAAACTGTATGCGATGAGGCATGATGCCAAACATACTGAAATAGAAATTTAAGGGTTACATATACTTTAAAACATATCTAACACCAGGTAAAGGATTGAAGCTCTGCCTTTTTTTAAATTGCTGTCTTTGTAGCTGCTGGGGAGACTCATTCTCTCTGTTTGCTTTGGTGACCATGGTCCCTGGGACAGAATGTGATGGGAAATCCAAAGATTTACCACTGTTATTGGAGCAGGATGTAAAGGGAAATCTACAAGTGAAGACACCTGGTATACTGACAACTGTCTTAGAGGGGATCTCTCCTAATTTTGGAGAAATATTCTTTCCTTTTATGTTCTGTTTTTGAGAAAGAAAGTTAAGGAAAATTATTTCCAAATTAACCATTCCCTAGTATATATAAAAAAAAACCTAAGAACAACGTTTAGCTTTTGATACATTTAACCAGAAGCAGGAGGAGCTGGGAAAAAGATGAACCCAGGCTGTTCAATGCAGTCTGCCAATATGGAGCTTAGTCTATCAGACCTGCCAGGCACCAAACCTTCCTCCACTCAGATCTCTTGAGTGCAGTCCTCTTTTAGATATGCCGTACATGTAGACTTGCACAGGAAAATCTAGCTTTCTTGAGGAACAGAAATCTTTGCTGTCTAGTTCAGTCATTTCTCCCTTTTTACATAAGCCACCCACTCACTCACTCTGCTGTGTGCTTTATGTGCTGATGCTTAAAGTGGCAGAAAGCATTGTATATTGTCAGCAGGAAAAAATCCTTTTTTTTTAAACCACAAAAGAACATCTATTGCTCCAAACATTAAGAAGCAAGGCATTTTAAGTGAATTAATTACAACTGCGTAGGCTACACTTCCTGCAAAAACCTTCATACAGGATAAGTCTTGTGCCATTTGATGATATCTAAACTTTATTTCAGAAAATGCATACATTCCTAAGCATTTGTGTTCTGAAGTACAGCAGATGCTGCTCATACCGTGTTTCCCCGAAAATAAGACACTGTCTTATATTTTTTTTTGGCTCAAAAAAAACACACACGGTCTTATTTTCGGGGTAGTTCTTATTTTTTTAAATTATACAGCAATTCACACTTATTCATGTACAACAGTCTACATGTATTCATGTAAAAAAATATGGTGATCAGGGCAATCAGGGGTGCCGTACCTTTCCAAGAGCAGTTTGTTAACCAATCGCTGACCAGGATGAGCGAAGCACGCTTTTGCTATCGATTCCTCAGAGGCGGAGTGCATTTGGTATCACTCCGCCTGTGACAGGAGCCGGGGCTATAGAGGAAGCATCGGCTTATGCGCCTTTGCTCCCTCCGCTGCCGCCTCACTCCCTCTAGCGCTGGCTTCATTGGCACCGCTGATTCTCTCCCGCCTTTTTTCAAGTTCCCCCTTATGCCACCATCGGCCCTGGGAATGGTCAAAACTAGGTCTTATTTTCGGGGTAGGTCTTATATTTTAGCAATTCCCAAAAATAGTACTAGGTCTTATTTTCGGGGTAGGTCTTATTTTCGGGGAAACAGGGTATTATGGCCTGTTCATTAAGGATAATCCACCCCAAACAGTGTTTAGTGGATTGAAGCAGACTTTGATTCACTGCCAAGTTTGTAATACTGCCTGTGACCTTGGCAGAGATATCTCCAAAAATATATGAAGAGTGTTCCTTATAAATTGCTCAAAAACATTAAAGGAACACTTTGAAAACACATCAGATCTCAATGGGGAAAAATATCACGCTGGATATCTACTGTATACTGGACTGGGTAATGTGTTAGGAAAGAAAGGATGCCACATCGTTTGATGGAAATGAAAAATTATCAACCTACAGAGGGCTGAATTCAAAGACATCCCAAAAATCAAAGTCAACAAATGATGCAGCAGGCTAGTCCATTTTGCTGAAATTTCATTGCAGCAACTCAAAATGGTACTCAGTAGTTTGTATGGCCCCCACATGCTTGTATGGATGCCTGACAACGTCGGGGCATGCTCCTAATGAGACCACGGATGGTGTCCTGGGGTATCTCCTCCCAGATCTGGACCAGGGCATCCCTGAGCTCCTGACTGAGGTGCAACTTGGTGGCATCGGATGGACCGAGACATAATGTCCCAGAGGTGTTCTTTTGGATTCAGGTCAGGTGAGCGTGGGAGCCATTCAATGCTATCAATTCCTTCACCCTCAAGGAACTGGCTGCATACTCTCACCACATGAGGCCGGGCATTGTCATGCACCAGGAGAAACCCAGGAGCCACTGCACCAGCGTAGGGTCTGACAATGGGGCCAAGGATTTTATCATGATACCTAATGACAGCCGGGGTGCCATTGTCTAGCCTGTGGAGGTCTGTGCGTCCCTCCATGGATATGCCTTCCCAGCCCATCACTGACCCACCACCAAACCGGTCATGCTGAACGATGTTACAGGCAGCATAACGTTCTCCACAGCTTCTCCAGACCCCTTCATGTCTGTCACATGTGCTCAGGGTTAACCTGCTCTCATCTATGAGAAGCACAGGGCGCCAGTGGCGGACTTGCCATTTCTGGTGTTCAATGGCAAATGCCAATCGAACTCCATCATCCACATACAATGCAGAAGCCAAGCTTCTAGATCTTAACCCTTTTTTAGAACAGACAGTGTTTAAATCTAGTATACAACTGATAACTAAAAAGGACAGGGTTAATTATGGTAAACAATAACTCCACAGCACCCCCCTCCTTAACATTGCATAGCAAAGGAAAAAAACATCAGTTTTTGAGTTTTTAGCAAAGAGCAAGTAAAATTGTAAGCGACAATTTTAATTTTGAATTACACTATGTGAATGGGTAACAAAAAAAAAAGGAGTTATCCCAATTCGGCTGAAAAAGTGGAAATACACTCTAAAATAAATCTGTTGGTAAAATTCACTATTGACCTAAATCATTACGGAACATGTCAGCATTACGATATTAATTTTTTTGGTTTTTTAAAACCCTCTTTCTTGCCATGAATAAAAACTGCTCTT